GCCCTAGTCTATTGTTATGACTACAAGTATCACACTGGTCTGGTTTAATGGTTTTTCAGTATTACATTTCTGAATTAGAAAAAAGTAATCTATGCCTATAGGTTATTGCTTGGAAGAATGATTAAATTAAAATAGTGTTTGAACCAACACATCCTAAAGACTTGATTTTTTTTTCACCGCACAAATGTCGGAAAATTAGAGTTCCTGCACTTATTTTTTTCCCACTTCAAGCACTGAGTATAACGGAACACGACCCCGTGGATCTGTAAATCAAAAACACATCTGGTCAATCAGAATGATGAAAATAATTAATATGTCATTTCTGAAAAGGATACGGTATTCTGTTTTTTTAATTTAACATAGTATTATAGAAATATAAAGTAAAGAACACATTTGATAATTCCTTTTAATACCTGAAGGAAGCATCATCTACAGCCACAAGTCCACTGATCACCTTCTGTCTTTGGCCAGATTCTGAACTTCAGCCGTTCCACCATCTTCACAAGGAAGCACTGGCAGTGGGAGCTCATCACCAAAAATAAGCTCCACTCCTTTGGAGAGAGACAGAGCAGAAGCGAGTGCAGGTAAGGACAGCTCTACATGGCCTGCTGTGTGTCTGCCCTGTTGTGGTCAGCTCTGCATGGCCTGCTGTGTGTCTGCCCTGCTGTGGTCAGGTAAGGACAGCCCTACATGGCCTGCTGTGTGTCTGCCCTGCTGTGGTCAGGTAAGGACAGCTCTACATGGCCTGCTGTGTGTCTGCCCTGCTGTGGTCAGGTAAGGACAGCTCTACATGGCCTGCTGTGTGTCTGCCCTGCTGTGGTCAGGTAAGGACAGCTCTACATGGCCTGCTGTGTGTCTGCCCTGCTGTGGTCCGGCATCCATTACAGTGTCTTTTTGTGTCCTTGTTTCATAACTAATTCTGTACAGAAAGTATATTTGCATTCATGAATCATATTTGAATTTCAGGGCACAGGAAAAGATCATTTCTGAAGCACAGAATGGTGAGCTGTGTTTCTTTGTCACAATAACTCCTAGTCTCTGTTTTTTTATTACATTTAAATTTTGCATTTCCTGATACGTTTTTCATGCATTGATCACTCTATACATTTTAATATTTTGTAGGTTTATTGCCTGATATTCTGTCGCTTCTTTCATCCACACAGACCACATTGGATATGATATAAATGCATAGTCTGTGTTTCATTTTGATTAGCTGTGGTCTAATTCCAGGTGCTAGTAAATCAGACCCTATAATTACTGAAGCGTTTGCTAATAATCACTGCTGTCAGTCACAGCCACTCCTTACAGATCCATTCACTCCAAACTCCAAATGTACAGACCACCGAGGGAGAGAGAACGGCCCCCAAATGTCCCCCCCTTGGTGGCACCAAGCCCCAGGTTCGGGGTCTTCACTGTCCCCCGATCATCATCAGTCCTTCTGCTCCCTAGGGAGACCCCCCCTCCTCCAAAAGAACAGGAACAACAACAACAAAAACACATTTACAATAACAGTGCACCCCTTTCCTGCGACAGCGATGCCACATTATTAGCGAATCACCTGTGCTGGTATAACTGTCCAGCACTGCATATGTGCAGTGTGCATGTTCATCTTTTGATCTATTAAAATATTATTTTATTATATACTATGTGGTACATTCTGTTAGTTACACGCTCAATGTCATATTTTCATGCGTTTTTATGTAGTTTATGATGTAAGCTGTTGTCAGTCAATAACCTTCCCTTTATTTTACAATAGAGGTTACTCTATTTTTGTTTCACAGAACGTTGAATATGCACATTTAACAATATTGTTAACTCCTGATCACCAATTGTTACTGCTGTATTACTTTAATTACCTATATATAGGCCCTTTGTACAAATGTGCATTTTTTGTTTCAGGCAATTTTCGCTGGTTTCGGTCCACTTGAAGCCTTCATTGGGGCAGAAGAGGGAGTGGCTCTGATGGCTCTCAATGGCAAATACTGGAGCTCGATCCACCGGAATGGAATATATCCTATTGAGTGCTGGAAGGACTCAAAAGACAATTTGTGCAAGTTCCGCATAGAAAAGGTTGGACACCATAAAGTTCGTATGACAGATATGAGAGGGGTATACCTCAGTCGATTTCACAGAAGCGGGATTGACTTTATTGAGGCAGCTAAGAATCCCCCTGACTTATATTGTGAATTTGAAGTTTTCAGGAAAGGTGAGAACGTTTTGTTTAAAGCTGAGAATGGTAGATTTCTGACTCTCATTACCCGTGGACACATCGAAGTTGCCAAGGACGGGCCAGACCAGTTTTGTGAATTTACCCCAAGTATCGGAGACATCGTCAGTCCTGAGTTTGAGATCATCTCTGTGGACTTCAAAAATGTCTCTGCACTGATCGAAAAACCAATTGTGGTGAAGAAAGAAACCTACACAAACAGTAGTAGCGTGGAACAGAAGCACAAGTTTAATATGTCGTGGACGAAAACTGAGTCTGAAACAACCACTTGGAATCACGCTTGGGGTTTGAGTTCCACTGTGTCTTTTGATTGTGAATTAATAGGAGCAGCCATCTCAGTCTCATACTCAGGATCGTACGGCACCAGCTCCACGAAACAGAAATCCATCACCTTGGGGGAAGAGACGGAGGTCACCATCCCACCTCATAAAACGATAACTGTTAAATTAGTAGTCAACAAGCAGGAAAACTGTCAGGTTCCTTTTACTGCTAAAATTAAGAAGATGAAGAGCAGTGGAGAGGTGCAGGAGCTCACTGAACAGGGCACATGGATGGGGGTGATTTATGATAACGTGCATTTTGAAGTTAAGGAGCAGTAATCAGATATAACAGCAACATTTCCCCTAATTAACCTGGAGAAATACACATAACCAAGGTGAATCAGGATTTTAAAACATTTAATTCTTATTCTCATAATAAATATGTTAATATCTTCGTATCCTGCGGCTTTGCTTTCTGATGATTCTGAAACGCTTTTGTACCCATTTTATAAACACCATGTTACTCTGTAATGCACACAACATGCGGATGGTGGATGAATTGTTCTGATTCCATTACATTAAGAATATTCTTTGATGAAATCTTTTTCTTTATTGCAATGAAGCCATGCTACTTATCAGCCTGACTCCATAGTCTTATGATTTCCACTACATTCACTACGCTACATACTTGTTTCTATTCCAGGAGAGGTACTGTAATGAATCTGAGTAGATTAGAAGCTGATGTAATCCTTTAGGTTTGTGTTATGCCTATGGCTCTTACCTATATGAAATCAGGTCTAATTTTGGGGGTGCAGGGGAAGGTGGTGCTGTCCAATGTATCGTTCCCATTTACCTTAATTCCTTTATGACCTTTTTAAACAAATAAAATTTAAGAGCATAAGAAATTTACAAACGAGAGGAGGTCATACGGCCCATCAAGCTCGTTTGGGGAGAACTTAATAGCTCAGAGTTGTTAAAATCTTATCTAGCTCTGATTTAAAGGAACCCAGGGTTTTAGCTTGCGCTACACTAGCAGGAAGACTATTCCATACTCTCAAATTCATTTAAAAATGTTCTCCTGCTAATTTCCACCTATGGCCACGAATTCTAGTTTAAACTAATATTAAAGTAGCCATTTGGCTGAACAGCATCTAGACCCGTTAGAATCTTATAGACCTGGATCATGTCCCCCCTTAGTTTCCTTTGCTCAAGGCTAAACAGATTCAGCTCACCTAACCTCTCCTCATAAGACATTCCAGGAATCATTCTCGTAGCCCTCTGTTGCACCTTTTCTAAGGCAGCAATGTCCTTCTTAAGATATGGTGACCAAACCTGCACACAATATTCTAGGTGGGGTCTTACCAAGGAATTATATAAATGTAACATCACCTCCCTTGACTTAAACCCCACACACCTAGAGATATAACCCAACATCATATTGGCCTTTTTTATTGCTTCCCCACACTGGCGAGATTGGGACATGGAAGCATCAACATGCACACAGATCTTTCTCATCAGCTACCTTTATTTCAGTGGAACCCATAAAATATCTGTACTTTATATTTCTGCTCCCTGCATGGGTTACCTTACATTTATCTGTGTTAAATTTCATCTGCCAGGTATCAGCCCAGGTTATGGTGCCCTCTCCCTGTGTCTGTCTCTTTTCTTGCTATATGTGTGAGAGTATCTGCTCAGGCCCGGGGCCCTATGAATCAAATGACGAATTCCCAATTGGTAACCTTATTTGTTCATGCTTTGACTGACAGAGCGCAATAGTCCCACTCCCGGTGGCTTCGGAAACGATGTTTCTCCGACACTAGCAGACATTGTAAGTGAACATTGTCCTCTTGTGTCGGTTCCCTATCCACGTGAATCAGAGGAGTTTGCCTTTATGTTTTGCGTATGTTCTCCCTCCTCCTATCTTGCCCTGTCCAAATTCTGGCTCACTGGTGTTGAACATGTCAGAGCATATACCTGCCATTACCAGGGGAGTTTCTAGCAATTGAAAAGATCAACAGTCGAGTTTTCCTGGGGTTTGACTTTTTTCAATAATGACATCGTGGTTAAATACCCCGCCTATAGCGCCAAATGACGGCACCTAACGACGCCCCTGGCAGTTACCAGGGGCGTCTTGCTGACACTCCATCAGATCCCATTGCTTTACCAGGGGAAACTTGCTGCAATACTGGGTGCTTGGTTTTCAGGAATTTGCAGCAACTTAACCCCACTGTACTGAACTTTTCAGGGAAATTAAAACGCGTGACAGCCCTGCCTGGACTCCCATTGGCCTTAAGCGCTCTGACCAGAAGTGTTTTCTCTTAACGTTTTGTCATCATATTGACTTACTGCCTGGGATGAGCTCACGAATTGCACAAGAGTGGAGTGGAGCGCAGTGTTCTGTTGGCACCACTGGGGGGTAGCAGAGAGGCTTAATGTAGTGTATTAAAAGTACAGAAAAAAATTTGAACCATTTTAGGAGAGCAAGTTCACAAGTTTTCCTAAGACCTGATTCTTTGGGGTGGTATGTGGCTCAATGCACTATGGTTCTGTACCTGTGATCTGAAGGTTGCTGGTTTGAGCCCAACCTCGGCACGTCTGCGGGTCCTTGAGCAAGGCCCTTAACCCCCAGCTCCCTGGATGCCGCTACGGGTGGCTGCCCTTCACAGACAGCTTACTCTCATCTACAGAGAACAAGTTGGGGGAGGTGAGAAGAGAATTTCTCCATAGGGATTAGTAAAGTATCAATTGTTACTGTTATTATTTCCAGGTCAGGGAATATTTGTAACGTTACATTTACAGCCACGCCTGTACGTGTGTGCCGTCATATGTGTGTCTCTTCCTGCCCGCCAGGTCGTGTTCTGCGTCGACCTTCGCTCCTCCACTCTGGAGGCCTCTGTGATCTGGCTGCTCCTGCTGTCAGCGGCCAAAGTCCGGCGGGAGCGTAGAGGCAGGCGGCGTGAGCGAGGCGGCGGCCTTCAGTCTCTCCTCAGCGAGGAACAGCGACGTGTCTGTGCCCTCTTCCTCCTCCCTGCCTGTTGCGCCGCCTCGCCATGCCGCCCGTGCTCCTGCTGACGCTCTCCCTCTCCCTCTCCCTCGGGACTGTCCTCGCCCAGGAGCCTGAGCCCGTTGTCGTGCAGCTGAACGAGACGCAGGGCGAAGACCCCGACACCGACTGGGGCCTGGACACCATCCGGGGCAGCTTTGAGGCCGTCAATGGCTACTTCGACTCTATGCTGGAGCTACTGGGAGGCCGGGATGGGGTGTGTCAGTACCGCTGTCGATACGGTGAGCGGGGGGCCGTGTTACAGTGCTGCAAAGCAGAGTTTCTTAGTATCAGGGCGCAGCGCAAGCTCGCCCCCTATGTGCTGACTAGGAGTATTACAGAGAAATTACCTATTTATTCATCATCAGAATCATCACGGTAGATTGGTGTGTACAGATAAGGTATTAAAGTCACTGGAGTGTAGAAAGGTGGTTTATTTTTCGGTCACTGGCTTGTAGCAATGATATAATGGCCAGTAATGTATGGAATACTGATGATGTGATTTGCTGCTCTCTGAGTTGTGGAAACTCGCTAAACTGGTGTGTATAGGTGTGATATGCTAGCAACTGCTTTGTTGATGGATGTTTTTCTGGTCTGGGTCTTCGGAGAGGTGCTGAGGTAGCTGGTGGCTGAGCCGATATACCAGTTACTGGCTGTAAAAGGACGTTTCACTGGTGTTAACTGCATCTTCATTTGAAGATCTGAGAATCAAGAAGGATTTACTGGATTTACTTTTCATTTGCCAGACCTCCATCACACACACAGCCAGCTCCATGCCTACAGAGGCACTGATGTTTCATGGGCAGAGACAGCCGATCTGATCTGATTAATGCGGCTGGACCTTAATCAAGGCGTGACGGTGGCTCTAACCCACTCAGTACACCGACAGCGTCATCTCCTCCCGGTGAATTCTGGCCTGGCCCAGCTGACTGGGCGCCCCATGAACTGGTCACTAGGGAGCCAAATCAGGCCTTAAGTGCGTCGTCTTTGTGTGTCGGGGTATGACACATGTCACCTCTCCACACATGTCACCTGTGCACACCTGCTTTTTGTGTGTCCTGGCATGTTGGGCTGGGACACTCAGATGATGTCACCATCAGTCACGCTCTGGTGTGCTGCCCCGGTTTGTCACATGCAAACTGACAAAGTTGGGGGGGCAGCTTCTGTGAGAAACGCATGATGGCACCATGAGGATGTGGTCATGGGACGCCTTCCTCTCCCGCTGTGTGTGATGTGATACATGTTATGTCCAACATGTAGAGATGTAGCTTGTGTGGCAACAAAGATTTTGATTGGCTTTGGTCTCATGGCGATAGAGACTGATTCTGCCTCTGATTCTAACCCTGACTCTGATTCTAACTATGACTTTGATTCTGACTCTGCTAGGCAAGGCTCCTCTTCCTCGCCCAGACTATCAAACTCCCGAACCTAATGGCTGCAGCTCCTACTTTCTAGGCCTCCCACTGCCTGATGGGGTGCGTATCCTCACACACACGTACACGCATGTGCATGTGTGTCCGTGCCATAACCCATGCGTGTGGATCTCTCCAGCTGGACTTAGGCATCCCAGCCATGACGCGCTGCTGCAATCAGTTGGACCTGTGTTACGACACCTGCGGCTCCAACAAGTACCGCTGTGACTCCAAATTCCGCTGGTGCCTGCACTCCATCTGCTCTGACCTCAAGAAGAGCCTGGGCTTTGTGTCAAAGGTTGAAGGTCAGCACCCTCATTCATACCTCACTGGCCCTCAATACAGGCAGCTCTCAACTTACGTAAGATCAACGTAATAAATCAGGACTTATACAAAAAATATCTGAGATACACAGAGAATACAGGAGTGCTAAAGCCAAAAGGGAACAGACATCTGCAAGTACATTTATACTTTTCATTTATGTCTTTTGCATGTATTACTAGTATATTTTTGGCTTATGTGTTTATAGCTCTAAGATGCGGGAAGGTAAATCTGACTTACGTGGAATTTGACTTACATGTAGAACAGATTACTTACGTTCAGTCAAGAGCTGCCTTTATATGTTACTTGTATTACATCACCTGAGCTAAGGAAATCTATTGCTGGTCATTGGTCACATTAAGTGCGTGAAAATGCAGTTTCGTCGAGTCATTGTCCCACTTTCCTGTTTCATTTCCTTTTAATTTCATTTCGCTGTCATTTTATTTCATTTTTAATTTCATTTCAGCTTGTGAAACGGTCGCAGACACATTGTTCAACACCGTGTGGACACTGGGCTGCAAACCCTTCATGAACAGCCAGAGGGCAGCGTGTATCTGCGTGGGCGAGGAGAAGGATGAGCTGTGAGGGGAAGGGCGAGGTCCAGCAGGGGGCGCTGAAGTAGAGGGACGTCACCAATCATCATGGGCTGTGACGCGATGTAATGACCTGCTCTGCTGACTCCAAGCCCACAGAATATTATTATTGCTTGTATTAGTGAAGAATCATATTAAAAGTTATTATAAGTTATAAAGTGTATATATATATAAATATTTTGTTCCATTAGAGGTGCTGGTTTGACTCAAGCCTTTATGATGCGATTGAACTCTTTATTGTATGAAATGCGATTCTTAATGTTTTTAACTGTTTTTTGAATGTTTCTTTATATGCCAGAATGGGACCACACTGTGGAGACAAGATTCCCGAAAATATTTAAAATGTTTTACTCTGAAACGTAGCAAATATAAAACATTTTAAAGGGTCGACTCAGAGAGGTGAAGGAGGTTTAGTAACAAGACCATAATCACTAAGGATGACGGTGTGCATAAAGACGGCCGCTAAGCGCTAAGCGCTAACCCTCGTGGGGGTGGTCAACACCGCTCCAGCCACGCTTTTGCATGGGGCCCAGAGGACTGGGGTCTCTGCACTGGGGGGCAAAGTGACATCCTGAGTGAAGCCCCAGAAACAACAAACCTGCCCCTCTCTAACCCACTCTGGAAAAGGCGGAACACTGTAATGTCACTGCAGAGTCACTTCTGTGATATCACTGCAGAGTCACTTATTTTGGTTGTGACAATGTGACAGATTGAATACATTTCCACTGTCGTAAATCCACCCATTGGCTCAATGGGATGTACTGGTGCCTCACACTGCCAGGGTTTTGAGTCCTGCCTCTGATTGGCTGTATGGCCAGTCCGTCTGTCTGTCCTCCCTCAGTCCATTGGTGGATTGGTGTCTCTAAGCTGCTGCAAGTGTAAAGCTCTTCTCATCTGGTCATGTTGGATTCGTATCAGATTCAGTTTAGGGGAATATAAGGAACTTCTAACCTTGAAACTCAAAATGGACTTGCACCCCTGCACCCGAATCACATACTTGATTATTTTGTTTACAAGATACTACATATCAGGCCAGTAGTGCAAAGGACAGAGTGTACAAGCCACATCTCCTGTTTCATGGAGTAATCTCTGAGTCTGATGCTTCAAAAGTTCAAGAGTTCAAATGATCAATGTAGTGGAACATCTCACTGGGAAATCCACACATCTTATCTCGGAGTGCACATACATCTCAGAGCACATAAATTCATAATCTAATCATGGCACACACATTTTAAACACACACGAAAGTTTAAAAGTTGAATTTGAAGTAAAATCTAACTATTCTTACACAGAGACTCAATGACAATAAAATGTATATGATATAATAAACTGCTTTTTATTTATTACGGTTTATGAACAGTGTATATAGAGCATGACCGCATAAGCTTGGCTGAGGCAGGCAGGCTGGGCTGTGGAGCAGCCTGAGTCTCCTTAATGAAGGATTAGACTGGGGAGGGTCCCTCCCCCCTCCCTAATCCAGGCATGTGCATCACACACCCTTTACCTCGGTGCCTATAGCTTGAATTTCATTTTTACTTTTCCAGCTGTGAAATTTGCTTTGGATAAAACACATTGTCAGAAAGCAATTCTTAGTCTTGGCAATTTCCAGTTTAAGTATGGCTAAGAAACTCAGACACTACAGAGAGCACAAGACATCATCACTATAAATGACTGGGTGTTGTGAGGGTGGGGATGACAATGTGAAAGTGAGGTGGGCACTGTGAAGGCCGGTGTCACTGTGAAGACAGGTGGAACTGTGAAGGCCGGTGTCACTGTGAAGACAGGTGGAACTGTGAAGACAGGTGACACTGTGAAGACAGGTGGCACTGTGAAGGCCGGTGTCACTGTGAAGACAGGTGGAACTGTGAAGGCGGGGGGCACTGTGAAGACAGGTGACACTGTGAAGACAGGTGGCACTGTGAAGGCCGGTGTCACTGTGAAGACGGGTGGCACTGTGAAGACAGGTGGCACTGTGAAGGCGGGGGGCACTGTGAAGACAGGTGGCCTGCATGGCTTCCTCACATGCCCTCACTTCCAGCGGTTGATTCGGAGCAGCTGGACATAAGCCAGGGTCATACACACTGACATTATGCCCAGCAGGGCCACCTCGTTCTGCCAAAATCCCCACATGCTGTAGTCAATTCCCTGCTGCTTCATGTACATTTCACCTGTAATACTGGGGAGGAGAAGGAGCCATAGACAGAGAGACAAGTAGATAGGCAGGCAGACAGACAGACAGACAGAAGGACAGACAGGCAGAGTCAGAAAGACAGAAACAGACAGACAGATGTCAGAGAAGGGATGGCTGTCAATTTCATGCTGAAAATTAGCATTCTGAAGTTATATAACAAGTAACCATACTCTAGTCAGCGATACAGTGGGTTGCACAAAATGACACAAACAATAAATGAAAAAGACCAACGTACTCCAGACACACACAACAGCAGAGCTCATTGACAGAATAGCTGTTAAACGCCACAAGATTATACCCATAAAAATCACCAGGCCATCAGGAACTCTGTGACCTAGACTCAAAACCCTGTGAAGGAGAACAAAACCCTGTGAAGGAGAACAAAAACTGGCGAAGGAGCACAAAATCCTGTTAAGAAGCACAAAACCCCATGAAGGAGCATAAAACCGAATGAGGGAGCAGATAACCCAGTGAAGGAGCACAAAACCAGATGGACAAGCACAAACCCTGGATCCCTGACTGATTCTGGGCAGCCATCTCATGGGAGTCACTGCACTTGTATAACAGCAGTGAACATGAGGCTTCCTGTGGTGCGAACACTGTACCCTCGCAGTGCTCCCATATTCCAGCATGGCCACGCCCCTATTCACCCTCTCATGCAAAATCAGAACCGTTTTATTAGTACAAAGATGAAGCCAAATGCCTTTCATGGGCAGATCTAATCTATCATTCTCTACTATCACCGAACCTCTGGAGAGAAGTGAAAAAGTGCAAAGAAAGTGCAAAGTGGAGGCTGTAATATGACAGCTGCAGCACTAGGAGGCAGAGATGCATCAGGGAGCAGGACCTACATGGTGAAGTTACTGCTGAACACTTGCCCCTTCAGCTCGTTGATGGTCACTGCCTGCGTGAGAAAATGCAGATGGGAGGTTGTCATTTTGGCAAAGCCTGGAAAAAATGATTGTGAAACACTTTACAACAGGCAAGTCACTGAAACCTGACTATAGAAATAAGCTAATAAAACATTATATGATTATAATATGAACTGACAGACCTTTTCTGCACTGGGACACTGAACAGGATCGGACAGCTGGATCTATTCAAACTGCGGTCCCCTTTCTCACCTGCAGACCATAGCGGAAGATGCTAGTCCACTGCATCCAGGACATCCAGCTCAGCATGGAGTTGAGATTGACTAGAAAACCCCCAAAGACCTGTGGGCAGGGAGAGTCAGGAGGAAGCTTAGAAAGCGAATGGGGCTACGCAGACCCCGGGGCTTCGGACTCACCAACCAGAACACAAGAACACGTCAGCACATCTCTCTGTGCGCATGTGCCGCAGGACCGGCCGCTGAAGCGCATTTATCCTGCGCCGTACTCATCTTACTCATCAGCACCACTGATCATGGTCTGCCTGCTATAACCACTGTCATCATCACAGGCATCAGCACGGGCATCAGCACGGGCACCAGCACGGGCACCAGCACGGGCACCAGCACG